GTACTTGTTTTTGGTGTATATCTTGTTATGAGAGTGAAATCAGTACTTGTTTCTGGTGTATATCTTGTTATGAGAGTGAAATCAGTACTTGTTTCTGGTGTATATCTTGTTATGAGAGTGAAATCAGTACTTGCTTCTGGTGTATAGCATATTATCAGTGTGAAATCAGTACTTGTTTCTGGTATATAACTGGTTATCAGTGTGAAATCAGTACTTGTTTCTGGTGTATAACTGGTTATCAGTGTGAAATCAGTACTTGTTTCTGGTATATAACTGGTTATCAGTGTGAAATCAGTACTTGTTTCTGGTATATAACTGGTTATCAGTGTGAAATCAGTACTTCTCTTGGGCTCATTTTTAAATCGAACGTGATATTTTAAAAGTGGTAATTTCTAATCAACAGAACACTAAAATGCGAGAAATTATCAAATACACAAAGGAAAATGACGACAACTTCTTGAACACTTAATACCGTTCCACAGCATTAACTGTAGTTTTCAGTAGTATTCGACACATACAGACACTGTGGTTTAGTTTTTTTTTATCTCATTATTGTCCCTGATACTGTTGCCACGCGCCACGTATTCTATACATCGTTGAACACGTTCCAAATCAGCTGGTGACGTTATAACTGTGGCATTTAAACATATTGTTCGATTAGAGTTGTGTCGCGAGAGTTACTGACTGGACATCCCCCCCCTCCCCAAAAATAAATAAATAAAAATCGCTTTTCGATACTCGTGGTGGGCACAGCACAGATAACCTATTACGGAGCTTTGAGCTTCATAACAAAAACAAGAGTGGACATCGGCGAGTCTGTGTATTGATACGTCTCTGGTCAACAGTTTTAAATTAGGGATCACTGTGTCTTGACCTTAGGCCTAACTGATTTGGCCGTTTAGCCCGGGTTTATAGCATAACGTACCATACACGTTGAAACCGTTAGTAAATTTTTCCCAATATAATTGAAACAACTGTAGTTCACGTCAATCTCATCACAGTTTCTCTGTCAGAGAACGAGATTATCACGTAGTTCACGTCAATCTCATCACAGTTTTTCTGTCAGACTACGAGATTATCACGCAGTTAACGTCAATCTTATCACAGTTTTCTGTCAGACAACGAGATTATCACGTAGTTCACGTCAATCTTATCACAGTTTTTCTGTCAGACTACGAGATTATCACGTAGTTCACGTCAATCTTATTACGTGATAATCTCGTAGTCTGACAGAAAAACTGTGATGAGATTGACGTGAACTACGTGATAATCTCGTTGTCTGACAGAAAAACTGTAATGAGATTGACGTGAACTACGTGATAATCTCGTAGTCT